CTACTCCCGTAAAGATTTACACCCTCGGAAACCCTGTACAGAGTCGCTATGGGTCGGACCCGACTCGATGGCACTTAACAACAACAACAACAACAATACTTTTCATAAGTTCTCTGTAGTGAAAATCTATGATTTCTTATTAACAAGTCTTTTCAATTTAGTATGATAAAGATACCTGTTGTTCACATTGAACTTATTAAGGTATTATGAAATATTGATGTGACTTTTAAATAAAATCAAAATTACAATCAACATAACATTATAATTTAAGTACATTTTCTTTTCTTATTCATTTATGACCTCAGATCTACTCCCCAAATTTTCAAGTACAGAGGAATAAAGCAACTTTGAACTTTCAACACTAGGAAATAAATACAATAAGAGCACATCTGGATCCAGGGAAAAGCTATCAGAAATTGTTTCAATAGTGGGCAGTAATGGAAACACAATATTTACTTTAAGAATACTAATTACTTTCAAACTGCCTTCAAATATCTAAAATATTTTAAATGATTACCTATGAAACATAGAATTCTGTGAATGCTTTAAAAGAAAGTCAAGCATACACAAAACACATAATATTATATATGAAATATTAGTCACAATGAATCCACTCCATTTCTTAAATCATGTACATAAGAGTTTATTGTTTCAGGCATATTTTCACATATAATTGTAAAATTCTAGGCATAAGATTAGTAGTAAATTAACTTAAATCATAATTAGAAAGGTGAAATTAATCTCTCAAAATGTAACATTACAAAAGATTAGAAAAATAACTATACCTAATCTATTTGCTGGATTTCTTTTGAATAACATCCTTAGAAGACTCTGTGCTTCAGCACTAAGAAATTGTGGCATTCCAAGTTTTGCTCTGAAAAAGAGTATTTTAGAAAATTTCATTTAACAATAGTCTAAATATTCTTCAAAGTTGATAAATAAATCTCAATAGTAAATAAAGAGTGCTTTCAAAATAGCCAATAATATGTCTTATATAGTAGGATAAAATAGCAAGGCAGTTTGAAAAATATTATTTTGTGTAAATTTATAATTACATTAAGTTTTTCAAAACTGAAAATAAGGATTTTACTCCTTATTTTACTCAAAATAAAATGATATTGCTTACACTTACTTCAGGATCATATTCATGGTCTCATTTCTGTCTTTACCTTGAAATGGCAGAGTTCCAGTAAGCATTTCAAACTAAAACAAAAATATAATCACAGCAGTCCATTTAGCACAACTTATGTAATAAAATGCTTTAGAAAAAAAGGAGACTTGCTCATCAAATCATGTAGGAACTATATAATAATGGACCAAAAAAGAGATCAGAACTGGGTCATTAAAGGAAATATACTTCCAGTACCTAACTATATAGGTGACTTTTACTCAACCACCTAGGAAAGATTTAGCAAATCTAACCCATTTTTTTTTTTTAAATTACATTTCATATGGCTAACTTCTCAAAGTCAAAACAGTTTGGAAATAGACATAAGACTTTTTTTTTTTTTTTTAAAGATAAACTTTTAAAGCCAACATTCAACAATAAAGGCATAACAAAATAAGCATACAACAATTGCAAATCCATACATACCTAACACATATTTAATCATTGCCACTCTCCCCAAAACAGGAATCCAAAAAGAGAAGTGAGAGCAGCTGCACAACACACATACCAAAAGTAGGAGTCTTCACAAAGTTCATGGAAAATACATATCATGAAAAATTATGCATGGATTTCAATTTTTTCACCAAAATAAACTCATACTTACTATCTTGACTGAACATCAAATTTGAGACACTAAGAAAAATAAGACATTAGTTTAGAAGGAGGCTCTCTCAGAGTAACATGGATACTGATAAAACTGAAGCAACAAGCAATAAATTTACAGTGAAGCTTGGTTAGAAGAATGATGAAATCACTGATGCTTTATGAAAAGTTTGTAGGGACAATGTCTCAAAGAAATCAGCAGTTTGCAAATGGGTAACTCATTTTAAGAAAGAATAAGACAATGTTGATGATTAAGTCCAAAGTGTTAGACTATACGTATAAATTTGTGAAGGAACAATTAATCTTGTTTGTGCCCTAACTGAAGAGGATCGATGATTATCAGCAGAAAGAAAAATAAAAAAATAAAATAAAGCCAACACCATAGACATCTCAACTGACTCAGCTTACAAAATTCTGACTGAAAAATTAACATTAAACAAACTTTTTGCTTGAGAGGTTCCAAAAGAATTACACCCATATCAGCTGCAGACAAGAACAGAGTTTTCAATAGAAAATCTAAACAAGTGAGATCACGATCTTGATGCATTTCTTTGAGGAATTATAAAAGGACATGATAAGTGACTTTACCAGCATTATCTGGAAATCAAAGCACAATCAAAGTAATGGCTACCAAGACATGCAAGAGGTCCAGTCAAAGCAAAAGCAGACTGCTGAAGAGCAAAGGTCATGCCAAAAGATTTTTGGATGCTCTAGTCCTGGTGTGGTACTGTAGGTTCAGTACTAGACTATGAACAATAAGTTTGGCAGTTCAACCCCGCCAGCTGCTCTTTGAAAACCCTATACAGGGTTGCTATAAGTCATAATCAACTTGATGACACTTAACAACAGTCTTGGTGTGGCATTGTGGGATAAGCACTGGACTGTTAACTATAAGGTAAACGGTTCAAATTCACCAGCTGCATACTGGAAACCCTATATAGGGTCGCGATGACTCTGAACAAACTGAATACCACTTAACAACAACAGCAAGGCATTTTGGAATATTCAAAGCATTTTGATTTGCATGTTGATTTTCTGAAAGGTCACAGAATAATAACATCTGCTTATCATTAAAGTGTTTTGAGAAAGTTAGCCGGAGTTTTAGCAGAGAAATGTTCAGGAAACCTTCACCAGAGAATCAGTCTCAACTGAGACAAAATGCTAACGGTCACTTTTGAGAGAGTTTTGTTGGGAAATCATTAGGCATTCACCTTATAGTCCTTATTTGGCTACTTCTGACATCTTTTTGTTTCCTAATCTTAAAAATATCTTTAATGGGCATCCATTATCCTTTAGGTAATAATGTAAAAGTGACTGCATTGATATGGTTAATTTCCCAGGACCCTCAGTTCTTGAAAGATGAACTACATGGCTGGTATTATCACTTACAAAAGTGTCTTGAACTTGATGAAGCTTATGTTGAAAAATAATCTTATTCATTATCTTTTAATTCCATGAGCTTTTTTCTGAAATTTCCTCTTATTTTATGTCTTTATAATCAGTTCCCATACACTGTGATATCTAGTGATGTGTGTAAAACGAAAGTAAATTATATCAGATTCAGAAGCTATTCATTTATCATCAACCAAGTATATGCTTAATTCCATGCCTAATTAGCCAGTCAGTATTTATCAAACATCTACCAATTGCTAATATACTAGATTGCATGGTCAGTTTGAACCAAAAGATCAGCTGTTCAAAATACACGAGGTCTCCTCAGAAATCCTGTATAGGTTCACTATGAGTCAGAATCAACTTGAAGGAATTAACGACAACAACAGGTGCCCACTATGGACTCCTGTTGTGGCACTGTAGGATCATCACTTGACTGCAAGATGGCTGACTACTTAGAAAGCCTACACAGATCCTCTACAACAAAGAAAGGAAAACCAAATGAAACAGATGCAGATCATAGTACTGGAACCTTGAGTTTCAGAGGAAGGAACAGAGAGGTGGACTGAATGCTTACTAGGAGAGAATATTGAACAGACATGGCAAAAAAGGAGACTGGTGACCTGTGCTAGCTGAGCAGACACAGGGCGGTGATCTTAAACTTTTGTGAACAGCTTCAGAGACAAGATACTATATTGTAATTGCAGAAATATACAAGTGAATTACAGAGATAAAGGTGCAATTATTTTCTTTCTTAACTACACTCCTCTGGTGATCACAGGAATGGCCAGCCCCACCAGTATACACCCCCTGCAAAGCGCCAACTCTTCTGATGGTTGGAGCCAGACAAATGTGAGCACTACAGTTGTGAACCCCATCAGAGGAAGGGGTAGCTATCTGAATTAAGCTTGGTATCTAGATTCAGGGGAGCCTTGCTCCAAACATGCAGAGCCAGTTGTGGTCAGTCTTGAACTAGTCATAGCTAGGTGGGGCAGCTGAACAGATAAGAAGAGGTAAAAAAACAAACAACAACAAGTAGACAGGCAATATATGCCAGCCAGCCAAGTAAGGTGTGGTCATCTTGAACTTTCACTGGTCCCTTTGAAAACAAGAAGTCGGTTGGTGGTGCAGAGTCATAGCACTTACTGGTGGAAATGTGCCATATTTTTCTTATACTACACATTGTCCTCCTGACCAGAGGAGTGGCCAGCCCTTACCTACATACACTCTCAGCTAGGCTTCTACTCCCTGGGAGATTGTTGTTGTTGTTATGTGCCGTGGAGTCGGTTCTGATTCTTAGTGACCTTGTACAGGGTTTCTGAGGCTATAAATCTTTACGGGCGCAGAAAGCCTCATCTTCTTCCCACAGAACAGCTGGTAGTTTTGAACTGCTGACCTTACGGTTCACAGCCCAATTCGTAACCACTACGCTACCAGAGATCCCTAGTTCAAGTTTGGCCAGAACCAGCTTTGCAGGTGTGGAGCAGGCAACCCCTGATTCTAGGTGCCAGGGTTAGTGCTTTAAGATTCCCACATACTTTTATGCACCTCCAATCTCTCTCTGGGAGGTGCTGCACACTTGCAGAGCTGGTTATGGCCAGACCTGAACTAGGGGGACCTCTCTACCTAGGCTGCCTTCTAGGATGGAAATACCCTGGTCCCCAGAAGAGAAAACAACTAGCCCCACAGTAACCCCATCTAGGGCAAGAATGTCACTATTTCATTCTTTATCCAACTACTATGTCAGGTCCTTGGCTGGCAGGAGACCCCAAAATTTGCTCCTCTTTGGATCTGGCACCTTCCCAGGTTCTTTTCTTTCATTGTTTCATCTTTTCAGTTTCTGCTTTCATTTTTTCCCCCCAAGAAATACAACTGAAGAATGGATTAAAAAAAAAAAAAAACACCTCTGGTACATACCCAAAATGGAATATTATGCTACCTTGAAGAATAACAAGGAAGTTGCAAGTCACTGCTTAACAGGGATTGAGACATGGTTGGAATGAGGAAAAAGGGTGAAATAATAATAAGATGACTGGCTGTCTTTTGAATCTTGGTTTCCCTGGTTTACCATTATAAAATAGACACGTGAGGTGGAAAGAAAGGCATAGCCAGAAATATCACCATAGAAGGCTTGTAAGTCCGGCTTCTGCCTATAACTGATTGGAATATCTAAAATGGGGCTACAACATGCCCAGTGAAGGAGGCTTCCTGTGGAGCCTCTGGATTACACAAGACCATAGATGGAATCTTGAACCGCATCCAGAATCTTCTGAGGTGGGACATTTCCACTTAAAAGGACAAGCAGACCAACCTGGAACAGCTAGAACAGAAGATACTTCTTGAAAGAAAGACCAACAGGAAAAATACAAAACAATATAGGCAGTCCAACAGCTTACTACAAGAATAAGCAAGTTGGTCGCCCAGCAGATATCAAGGCAAGTGGCAAGGTCCCCTCAGGGCAAACCACTTCCCAAGACTAAGACTCAATGGGAATAAACGCTCTGATTGGTGACCATGTTCATCACCAATAAGGGGAAGTGAGGGAAAAACAACAATGAATCTTCGAGCTACGCTTTACAACATTCAATAGACTCTTTGTGAAACCGGTGGAGAGCTGGTCAGCCAGAAATGTGGCAAGACCTGGGGACCTTGGGCCCAGAGTCAGTGACATAGCCAGAGAGGACTAGAGTGGAGAGTGAAGCCTCCAGCTGATAAAAGGCGGGTATATGCATAAGAACACTCACACTTGCAGATAATACCTACTTGACCTGGCTTTAATGACTGGATGATCAGAGCTCAACTAGAAGAAGAAAGAAGAGGAAAAAAAGAGTAATCTGATACAGTTTGATAAACTTGACCTACACCTATGGATGCAATAGCTCAAAAGAGGGAACAAATATTTACAGCAAGGATCATTCCCACCCCCTCCATACACAGAATAGACAGGGATGGGCAATTTGGACATTGGCTACCCAAAATAGGGGGGGCTACAAAGGCAAGAAGTGACTGATTTACAAGCTTTCAAGAGGGAGCCTAGATC